AAATATTGTATGGGTGGATGGGTAATTAGAGGAATGATAAATTTATATAATTTGTGCAGTTAAGGAATTTGATGATTTTTCATTTTCAGCGAGAAGGAGACAGTGTTTTAGGAATTAAAGAGTTTTGGAATAAGGTGGATTATTTGAAACTGTGTGACCTTGAGCAATTTATTCATCCATGCTAAGCTTCAGTATCTTTATCTTCAAAGTAAAAAAAGAGATTAAGTAATTCATACAAAATGCTAAGCTCAGGGCTGCTGGACCATCTATTGTGCTGAACTTTGGGGAAATAACTTTTGTAGGCCTCTGTAGGCCTACAGGAAATAACTTCTGAAATTAAAATAATAAAATGTATATTCTTAGAGCAGTTTTAAGTTCACAACAAAAGTGAAAGGCAGGTATGGAGCCTTTTAGATGAAGGTACCCTGTAACCACACATGCCTAGCCTCCCTCATTAAATCATCCCCCCATCGGAGTGGTACATTTCTAATAGTTGATGAATCTACATTGAGACGTCATCACCCTAAGTCCATAGTTTATAGCATGGTTCACTCTTGGTGTTGTACGTTCTATCTGTTTTTAAAATGTATAAGACTCTATGTATTGTGATATCACACAGAGTATTCCACTGTCCTAAAATCTTCTGTGCTGGGTCCTCTTATCACTTGACCCCCCCACAGCACTCCTGACAACCGTGGATCTTTTTACTGTCTTTGTAGTTCCATTATTTTTTTCAGAATGTCATGTAGTTGGAATCACACAGAATATAGGCTTTTTTTCAGTGTGGTTGCTTTCACTTAGCAATATGCATTTAAAGTTCCTCCATGTTTCTTTCCTGGCTGGATAGCTCATTCCTTTTTAGCACTTAATAATCTTCTTTTCAGTGGATATGTTACAGAACAGACCTGGGGGTGGCAGTGTATGATATACTATTACCAAAATGACCCCCCCTTTTTCTCTGGGGGTTCCTCCCCTGTACTAGGTTCACTTTGCCCACTGCCAGAGGAAAGATGTCTCTCAATGCCAGAGATTGGTAAAAAGGAAAGGGATTATTTATTTAAAAGTTACACAGACTTAGAACAATGACTTAATGTCTTCATTAAAATACTAAAGTTCTTTAGAATACCCACAAATGCACACAGTCCTTCTCCCCTTTGCCCAGCCTGGGTACTGGATCTCAGGAAAAGAAGTAGGAGTCCATGATTTAGGCTCCTGTCACCATCAGCTGTGTCACCGCCATGATCTGAAGTTAATCTAAAGTCATGTGGCACCTTCTCATAGCCCACCAGCAAGAGTCCGTTCACCCTCTTTCTTCCAGGCAAAGCCTCTCCTGCTTCCTAAGTCACGTGGCAAAAGGGAGCATCCCAAAGCCTCACAGTCCTACTCTCACCCAAGCCGCGGGGTCCCAAGCAACTCCGCCAAAGCTGCGCGGTCGTCTCCTGGTACAGCTGCTGCCCCTTGGTTTAAATCCCTGGGTGAACCTTTCTCTGCAGCCCCATTTCTAACTCCTCCCACAATCAGTTATGCCTGCCAGCATTCCTATATTCTTCATCTTTACTGGGCTGCCATAGTAAGTCTGAGTAAGGATGGCCCCATGGCATGGAGTCAACCATCTTCAAGCTCTCACTCATGCAGGAGCTGTAACCAGGGGGAGTTGCTTCCTAGTTACATCCTGGGTAGAAGTCACTCCCATCACCCTGGCTCAAAGCAATGGCCACAGTTATTTAACATATCTATGAAACCAGTTAAAGGTTATAGATATGTTAAACAACACTGGGAGAGGTTAGCTACAAAGTTGTTGCTATGCAAAACAGCTCCCAATGGCCCTGCTCCATGTGTCCCTTCCCCCAGCTCAGACTGGTGGGGGTGAGGACATCATATATATATTTTTCTCTAATATTTCCTGGATACCCTGAGTTCTGGACCCCATTACAAATCCCCATTTGGGGCCCCCACTTTGGCTGCTCCCTGTTACAGATATAGCATGGTTTATTTATTTGTTAACCTAGTGAAGGGCACCTTGGTTGCTTCCAAGTTTGGGCAATTATGATGTAAATCTGCGATAAACACCCATGTGAAGGTTTTTGTGTAAATATTTCTCAACTCTTTGGGGCAAATACCAATGAGTAAGATGGCTGGATTATATGGTAAGAGTATATAGTAGTTGTTTTTTTTACGTGAGGTGTTGTGTTTTTCAGAGTTTTATTAGGATTAATTAGATAATCAATATAAATTGCTTCACAGAGTGACTGGCGTATTGTAAGGGCTCAGTCAAAGTCAATTATATTTGCTGTTCTTATCTCATGAAAGATGATATAGAACTCTGTTATTTACAGTAAGACTTAAAAAGTAGGTGCAGAAGAGAGAAATGTCAGAGGAAAAGTGTAAAATAATTGGATACATAACTCCGTGTGAGGCGTCTGCGTCTATTGCAGTCCCAGAGATGCTGCATGTGCTTGTCTAATACTTGTTGCTCAGGATGGAAGAAGTGCCCTGGGTTGGGCCTCCTAGTTCCCCACCCTGGCTTTGGACTAACTAAGAAAGATTATGCAGGGTAATAATTGTAAGTAATGGTTTCTAATTCTTTAGGTAATAAAAGAAGACTATTGCTAAATGCACTCTAAATCCAAATCAGATAAACCTGATCAACAGTTAAGGTCAAAATGGTACAGAGGAAAAGCTGTAGACAGTCTGGAGAACCATGTTCACAGTCTAACTCACTCTGTGGCTTGCTTGGGAATGTGGACTAAATTCTTACTAATTCAGTTTGCTCCCCATAAAATGGGAGTGAGTCTCCCTCATGCTTTAGATAGCAAGATGAGATAATGAGTGTGCAAGAAATGCCTGAAATTTGCAAGAAGTCAGTAAGTGTAAGTCTAATTTTAATACATAGAGTCACTGAATAGCTTGCTCATAATCAGTGCCATAATAATAAATAAAACATGCAAAGTCATTTGGCCTCGGTAGCATCTTGACTAATTTCCGTCAAGCGGTTCATTTCTTACAGTGGATGAATCTACATGGACACACCATCACTCAGTTTTGAATACCTAATTGCACATACAGAGTTACATTTTCTCTTATTGTCTAGGCATAAAAGCATTTTTCTCTAATGTAGAGAGTTTGACAATAGAAATACACAAGAGAAGCAAAAAATTCACATTATTTCACCACCAGGAAATATCCAATTCTTTTTGATTTTTTTATCTTTGTGTCCAAAGCAAGTTAAATATCCATAAAGGTCAACCCAGATATATGTTTCTTAAAATTGGTATGTTAAGTATGCATATTTATGTTTCATCTTATAATATTCATAAGTATTGGTTTATGTTTTAGTGATTATATATTAATAACACACAATACAAAATCTTTGTTGATTTTCTTTTTTTCTCTATCAAAACTATGGGGTTTATCTAAGGTTTCATTTTTGTGGAAATGTTTATTGTTTTCTATTTATTTATTTCCATGCAAAACTTAAATAATATATCAGGGAATATCAATAGCATTTAAGCTGGCAGTGATTAAGGAATAAAGCCCTTATCTGTGATTCCAGCAATGGGCTCTGTCATCAGGATTTTAAGCTCTAAGTCTATTCCAGGCCTTTGAAGTACTCATTTGAGCTGAAGCCACTCAGAGAAATTCAGCAAAATAAGTGGTTTGAAGCAAACAAAAATATAAAGCCTCAACTTTTCCCAGCCTTGCATAATCATCATATTCATTCACTTTATACTAAATTTGCCATTGTGGAGGTTAGGTTAACCAAACTTGTCCCCCCAGTTTTGGGTTTTTTATTTTTTATCTTCTGACAGTGGCTTCTCAGTCTGCAGTTGAGTTTTCTCAAATACTTAAATATTTGACAAGCATCAGTTTTATTACTAAGGACTACACTAAATGATTTAATGATAATATGGATCTGTTTATTATTTTTCAAAACTATTTTAAGATGGTATTTACTTATGAAAGTAGCAGAATATTCAAATTGTTTCTTGATCTGCTTTTAAAGGAATTTTTACTGTTTCTAAACTCTGCCTAGTGGTAAAATTACACATATGGTACACACAGTGGGGAAAAAGTAAGTGTAGAGTTGTTAGTTCGGAAAACAACATAATAATGAATCAGTAAGACAAGAATAAACTCTGTGTTTTTGTACTAACAACTGTAAAGCTGCTTTTGCGCCATCCTGTAACATTTGACTCCGTCTGCAGAAGGAAAGCCATTGAAGATTCCCCCAAAGTGTCATTTCTCACGTAGAGGAATACTCCAAAACTTCCAGTTTTTTACAACAATATGACCTGTTTATATTGGTTGAAAATAAGTATTAATTGAAAACTCATTACGTCTTAGAAATTGAGAGTGTAGTAATGAAGTCAAAGTTCCATTTCACATGAAGTTTACATTTGAGAAGAAAAGCTATGCATAAATTAAAAGACAATTGGATAATGTTACCAAGTCTTATGTCCATTTATAATTTTCGTAAGAGGTACATTCTCTTCATGTACTTCACAAATAAATAAAATTCTTCATGTAAGTAGCATTTTGAGTAAGATTTTTTTTGCTTGGAGTTGATGGTATTTACTGTTTGTTTGCTTGTTTGTTTAATAATCTAGTATATATAGTCAGGACATTGCTCTATAGAAATAAAAGTATAAGATTTGTTGAGTAGTTAACACAATTAGCCAAATTCAAATTATTCTATATTATTACACTAATGTTTAGTGTGATATATCTGATACATTTTGAAATAATTTTTTATCCATTCATCTAAACAGCATATTATAATAAAATGTATATGTTAAATATTATAGATTAGCATTTTTGAATATTAGAATCAAGTAATTTAATAACAGCTATATATTATATATATAATATATAGCATCAAGCAATTGAGTCATTTTTTTCATTCTTTATATTTACATTTAGCTTTTAATTGTTTTAAATTTCTGCTGGAATACATTTTTTATATCTAAAGTGTGTCTTCAAATATTTTTATTCCCCTTCAGGAATTTGCTGCACTGACGAAAGAATTAAATGCCTGTAGGGAACAACTTCTAGAAAAGGAAGAAGAAATTTCTGAACTTAAAGCTGAAAGAAACAATACAAGAGTAAGTATAAAACTACCTCTGCTTGAAATGGATTCCATATATGGTTCAGTGCCTTATCTCTTATATGTGAATGAAAATAAACATTTAAAAACTTCAGAAAGACTTTATAAGTAGACATCACTTAGAGTCTGTTGCTTAAAGTAAAGGACAATATACTACAAAGCTCAAAATAAGAAGACAGGGATCCTAAATTATAGTCTTGGCTACTAAATCACTATGTTGCCTTAGAAAATGTTCTTATTCCTTTCAGCCTTTGCTTTTTTCAGTTTTAAAAGGGCAGGCTAGATTTCAATACAGAATTTCAAACTTTTGAACAGTTGTGCTGGAGTGGGAGACCTATACCCCACTTCTGGAGATGGGTCACAGGAGAGGTTTGAGAGAGGACCAGAGTTTCGGTTATGAGGCATTAGCAGGGAGTGTCATGCCATTGGTATTCCCCTCTGCCAGCAAAGTATTTATTTAAAAAAACTTTTTAAGTGTTAAAATGTAAAACCACTGGAACAGAAATCTTCTAGGTAGAGGAGGTGTATCTTTTCTGTTTCAGAAGATTGTCATGGAGACAATTCTGACTTTATGAAACTGATGGAATTTACTCTGTGCTGCACTTGGAAACCTATGTGTTGTTTCAGTCTCATGACATTTAACATTAAAGTTTAGAATTTGATCAGTGATTCTGTATTTTTAGTTATGAAGTCACTAACTTTCATAAAGTATATAAATTGCCATAGAACCCATAAATGAGAGCAGTTTTGTACTAAAGAACATTGAGAAAAACCACTTTGGGGTGAATAGAGTTCAATTTTACATGAAGTAGGTGAAAAATATTTTAAATGTTAGAGCTCTAACAAATGTATGCTGAGAAAATAATGTAGAGTGAACGTATTCATTCATTTTATGCTTGGTCTTCGAGAGCAATATACAAAGGATGGCTTCACCAGCACATATGCAGCATATGCTTCTAATGAGAGGTGCCATCACATAAACAATGAATACAGGATCCAACCCAGTCTGTGTCCTTATTCATCGGGGGCTTATTTCATGGTAAAGAGAATTCATTCAGTGTGCACACAGGAATGGGTTTTTACTGAGCCCGTCTTACGGACTGCCTCAAACAGGACATAGCGAACAGTCTTTAGTTCATGTTATTAGATCATGTTTTAGATCATGTCAGAGTAGTCAGATTAATTTTTCTGTTTCTTTCTTCCTCTATATGTTTTCTCACCCTTAATTTTTTAAGTACACTTTTTTAAAAACCAAATTTAAAGTTTATTTCTACCATGATATTTATTCTGCCCCACTTCATTGTTTTCTATTTTAACACTTTTGGCTACCTTCCCTGATGTAGTACAATATGCCAAATATAAAAGTGTGAGCGGGAATCTGAAAATGGAAGGAGATGCAAGCCTCCAGGTAGCTTTCAAGTATTCCGCATATTTAGAATGCACAAACTCTTGTACTAGCTGTGTATTTCTGCTTTATACAGCCTTTCTTTCCACAGTCCCCTTACTGCCTTCTGCAACCCTTTTTGGGAGGTATTATAATCATCCCCATTTTACAGATGGGCAGCTGAGCTCAGAAAAGGGCAGATAACTTGCCCAAAGTTCTGCCATAATAAATAGCAGGGAAAGGATTTGAAACGAGGGAAGAATAACTCCAGAGCCCAGACCCTTATCTCTAAGCCCAATTATTCAAGTTACATCCATGAAAACAGCTCCAAGATTTACTACAGCTTAAAGGAGACATTACCTAAGCGTAGACCAATGCAGTGCAGAGTGTGTTGTTTTTTCTTGATTGTGACTAATTTCAGAGAACTAGGAGATTTGGGGACAGCATCCACAGTTCTTTTCATGAAATTACATTCCAAGAGATGCAAAAGTACATGTGGCTATTGTGCCTGCAAAGGAACCTCAGGTAATGAAAGAACTAAGGCAAGCTATATTAAAATACCCGTTCAGGCATCAAAATGAGCAAAATACAAATATTTAGTTCTATTAGGATAACAGAAATTGGTTTTAAACGTCATAATAATTCCTTTGAAAGTGTGAATAAACCTGTAAAATATTTTTCTTTTTAAATTTATTTAAAAATCATTATTGATATACAATAATATGTTAATTTCAGGTAATTTTTGACTGGCTGCAAAAATAGTGATTAGACATTTATGTACCTCATGAAGTCAGCACCACAATCCAGGTAGTGCTCATGTGCCACCATTCATGGTTATTACAATACTAGTGACTATATTCCCTGTGCTGTGTTGCTTTACAGCTCCGTGACCATTTTTATAATTGATAATTTGTACTTCTTCATCCTCTTTACCTTTTTTGCCCATCTTCCACCTAGAAACAATTTTTCTACCTTCCTTAAAAGCAGTTACATGGAACATTTTTGTTGTTGATTATGTCAAAAAATTTAAGAAACTTTTTTTGTTCAGAGTACTGATTGTATGACAACTACCTAACTTATATAACCATCTCTCATCTCCTTCACCAACCCCCAAAATATCCAGGGCTGAAAAATTAGACATATATTCTCTCTTCCCCATAATTTCCTATTAAATGTTGCTAAATACAACAGTTTTATATATTTTAAATATTTTTTTTCTTCTACGTGTTGTCTTTTTCTTCTTGCCATAAACACCTACATTTTAGTCATGGAGAGAAAGTAACAAGCTAGTATTTTCTTCTCACACCTGCAGAATATTTGATTGGTGTTAGATTGTGAGAAAGTTTAAAGCAGAATTCCATGTTTTAATTTCCAGGGTTTTCATAAATTGTGACTCTTCTCTTTCTACCTTGAGTAGTTAACATATGGATTGAAATAACACACACACACACAAAAACAGCCCACAAAGAGAAATTGTAAGTGGATACAGTTATGTGTTAATTTTGAATGTCATCAAAAGCAATAGATTAGAAAGGGCACTCCTATTTGAGATATGAATTAATTATATCTTTCTTCCAAATAGAAAGCAGAAGTTGCAAATGGAGTTGATTGAATAGAGTTTATTTAATATGTCAAGTAATAATAATGATAATTACATAATAGCTAAATTAATTATGTGCAGAGTGTTTTTTAAGTCATTCACGTGTTTAACTCAATTTATTCTTATGGTAATTGCAGTTTCCCCATTTCACTGATGGGAAAACTAACATAGTAAGTACCATATTTTTTAGACCATAAAACGCACCTAAGTTTTAGAAGACAAAAATAGAAAAAATTTTTGAAGCAAAAATTGTGGTAAACATTTAATAACACAAATAACACAACATTTCACCAATGTAAAGCTACATTTGGACTATAAGATGCACCCCCTTTTCATCCCAAAGTTGGGGATGTATCTTATAGTCTGAAAAATACAGTAACTTTCCTCTGGCTGCATGACTTGTAAGTGACACATCGGGGGAATACACTGCTCAGCCTAACCACAAGCTGTGTATTTAAGAAACCACATTTCTCTTTCCCATGTCATTCATGAATCATATGTGATAGAACAAATTGTGTTAGGGAAGAGCAAAGTTTTTCTTTTTCTTTTTTGTAATTCATTCCTAATCTTTTCAGTAATTTATTTTTGTATCAGTTATGTGGAAAATAATGTACTAGGTATTTATTGTGATGACCAAGCTGAAAGTTGTGGCCATTTATTACTTTGTCACTAAAGAAATACCTGATTTCCTGCCCTGAAATATGAGTGAATGAACAAGAAATATGAGTGAATCAAAGAAATCACTGGAGTTGCTCTTAAATCTAGCTGCTTCAAGTAATTAAATTGAGGACATCCAAGTAAAATACTCTTAATGTTATTCTTGATTGTACAAAAATTATAGTGGGTATTTACATAAACATTTAAGCAAGATTTATTATTTAATATTTCTACATGATCAAATATAGAAAAAGTGATTAAACAAAATTTGTTATTCCTAAAATTTCTCTGATCATACTTAGACAAGTTATATTTACAGAAGATAACTTATTCCAGCTATTATTTCAACTTATTCAAATTGATTACTAAAATTTAGCAAGTTTTTATTTTTCAGAATTATTTGAATTAATGAAAAAGTGAAGGAAAACCAAAAATGTTAACATAGTTACTATCTTTTAATATCAGAGTAGAAATTTTTTGTTGTTGTTTTGGAACTGTTTCAATTGTTTTTGTGGCTGAAGATCAAAAGATGGTTATATTACTGACAATGTTTAAGAATGTAACTATTGCATAACTTTGAAAAAGAAGTTTTGATTTCAAGAGTCAGTAAGAAACAATATAGCTATAATTTCATCTCATGGGCCACAAACTTGAAGACTTAATTGTTGTTAATTCAAATTAAAGACTTAATTCAAAACCTATTTTATAATACCCTTACTTTTATTTTGATCTAAAGGAATTATATAAATGTTCAAAGACACTTGTCATTACTAAAGAAAAGCTTCTCATTCTTGACAACCTATTGACACAAGTTAATAAACTTCCTCCAAATATATTTCCTCAATGTGTAGAGAATACAATCCAATTGAGGGGAACAAAAAAGACCCTAGCAGTGAAAACCAGGTAAAGATACATGTGTATACATACATGGATGCATGTACACACACTTGTGAATGGACTATAATGCTGTAAAATAAATACACTAGTGAATAAGACAGGACATATGCCCTCCCCAAAGCACTGAGACTTCAATGTAGGACTCAAACATGTACCTAAGAAACATAGGGGACTGTAAACAGTATTCGAGATTGAGGCAGGTTGAGTGGCCTGAGCAAGAAAGGAACTAGTTTGAAGTTTTGTTTTGTTTTGTTTTCCAGGTGTTAATATTGAGTTAAATGACTAGATTATAGAAGGCAAATTGGTCTATAGGGAAGAATGTATTTCTGCTTGAACACCATTTGTGATTCAAAATAACTGTGCACAAAGTTATGTCAAATTCAGATTTAATAGGAAGATGTAAAGTTTTTAAAGTATATTTTATTGATTATGCTATTACAGTTTTCCCAATTTTTTCTCC